GCTCTTCAAGAACTTAGGAGCGATGGAAGACATGCTGGCAGTTTTACTACCATGTGCCTGACATCCAAGTGGTGAGGCCATGGATGGCTGTGGTGACCATGTGTGGGTTGTACAAAAACTGGGGTATGAAGAGGCCCATGCTGGGTAGAGACTGTGCAATATCTGATTCAGACAGCACTCTGTATGCTTTGGACAACATGACTGCAGTGGCTGGACCTGTTGTAAAAGCGCTGGGAGGCCATGGCCCCTCACTGAATCAAGAGGCGGGGGCGGGGGGCAGGTGTATGGTGTCATCAGCAGAGGAAGGGGAAGCAGAGATCTGGGAAGACCATTCAACGAGAGGAGTGGTGGGCAGTGTGGCTTTTAAAGGTATAGGTTTATGTACACTTCTGCACCTATGGAGCATGTCCCTGAGTACCTGGACTGTCTCGGTCAGGAAGAGGAAAGAAGACTCTCATTGTTGGAATCCATGGTGATTATAAATTCTCTTTCTACTTAAATGACAACGGGCGTTGGTGTCTGTTGTCCAAAGGCTGTAGTTGCAGGAGTCTCTCATACTCGGGGTGGGGAGGGTTAAGGATGAGGGATTTTGTTCTGACATCATCTGCCCATTGTTTATGGGGATGCTCTTATTATGTGTTATGCCTTCTTTGCACTGGCTTGTTGAATTTGGACGTATCTTCTGGGCATCAGCCATGTTTTATGTGTGGTCGGTAAAAATGTTCATTTTCTAAAAATATGTTTCCTAACCCTAACCCTCTAACCTTTGAAGGTGAGACAAAACGTGCATTGGACGGTCTTGCTAGGAATGGGGCAAGCACAGGTTTTACATTTTCCAGACTGGTTGGATTCAGTCCCAAGATCCAGGGAAGGGAGGGTGACCCTCTTCAGGCCCAATATGGGGAGGAAGGGAGGAACTGTATGATGGGCAAAGGCTGCTTGAAGTGACCCCCCTCCTTCCAGAGGTAGAGGGAGGAGAAGGGAACTCCCTCGGGAGGAGGCAAAGGGGGCTGCTCCTGCCAGGGAGGCTCTTCTATGCCACCCCTCCCTTGGGGCACCCCTTCTTGAGCCCAGGCCTATGATTTCTCAGCAGGCTTTATTGTGGGTTGGTGGCTGGGTTTGTTTACTTTGTAGGGCTGCCACGTTTGCCACTCTGGGAACTGGCTCACCGAGAGTTAAAAAATGTCCCAGTGCAAATAAGAATCGCACTGCACCGGGGCAAATGACTCACCCAGCATACAGTTAAAATGGGCTTATGTAGCATCCCAGCCCGATGCCTGGGGGAGGAACCAGTCCTCCAAGGCCTTCCGAAAGTCCATCAGGCTGTTGTTCACAGGGCAGGTGCGGCGACGGAGAAGACATGCTTCCTGGGCCCCATAAAATGACCTTGTTGAATTGATGGGACCTGGGGCAGGTCTGGCCCCAGCTTTCTTTGCTTCATTCCTCCAGCACTGAACGCCTGGGACTACAGTCAGCGCTAATGACCGTTCTGGCTTCCTCCGTGGCATATCCTGCTGAGTTTCCTTCAGCGTGTCACAGGATGCAATCGCTGTGTCTCCAGGTTTCGTCATGGCAACCACTGTGAGTGGCAGGCTTCAATCTCTGACGCTGACCCTGTGATCTGGTTCAGCTGTCCTTTTCAAAAAATGTTACCTTCGGTTTAGCTTGATTCCTTTTCTATTTCTCATCTTCAGGGTGAGGCTTTATAACTAATAGCGGTCTGAGGCTTATGTTATGGCTGGGAGACCGACGCATTTCCATCCTTTCAAAGACTTTGTGGGAATGGAGGAGGGAGGAGGGAGAGAGAAGCGGCGAGATGAGGGGAAAGAAGGACAGCCAGACTCTTTCCGGCCAGGTTTGCAGGAAAAAGGGAATTCCAAAGAATTAGATCAGAGGGAACATCTGATTTCAAGGAGGATGTGGAAATAAGTCTAAGAAGAAAGGTGCATTGGAACTTTGGTATTTTAATTCTTTCTGCATTGTAAGCCCTGCCATTTATGCAAACTCAGCATTTGTTTGAACTTGAGCCTTTTAAGCACATCCCATGATGAATGTTTAAAATGTTCTGCAATTTGGAAGGCAATCTGGAATCCTGTTCTAAGGCTCTTTACAGAAGATTCTTTCTTAATTGCAGTAGATCAGCACCATCTGGTGGTCTCTTGGATTTTTCAATTTTAACCCATTGCTGAAATCACTAAAATTTCTTTTTGTCTTTTTATCCAAGTAACCAGCTGTTATTTCCATACTTTGGAAACATTTTTGCAAATATTTTTCATCCTGCTTAATAAAATATATTTTAGAAACATTCTGATTTTTTTAAATGTGTGTGAATGGAAGGCATTCCAACACGATTCCCTGTTTCTTTTTTTAACTTTTTGCACAGAGAATCATGTTCTGCAGTATTTTTCAAATATTTTCAAGCATTTTGATTCTTTCAGGACTCTTTGAATGAATAAAAAAGGGTTTCTTTTGAAAAAAGAATCATAAAATCAATGAAGCTGTCAAAATGATAGCAGGCTACTAAGTAAAGGAAGAGCTATTCAACTATTTTGGTTCAATCTTCTCCAGCAAGATATGTTCAGTTAGGCAATTGTGAGGAGTATAATGAAGGGGCGGGATTAATGCTTAACATTTGTCCAGAAGCATGTTCACATAAAAATTACATTCTAGGCAGGTGTATCCCAGGGAGCGGAGGAGGCATGACTGCAGAATTGAAGCCCGCCCCTTTGTGCATGAGTGTGAGACAATGCACGAACAGAGATATGGGGCTTCGGTTGCATGGCCATGCCTGTCCTCATGGCCACTGCAGACACTCCGAATCCTGAAGGAGCTGCAAAAAAGTTGGGTGGATTGTTTATGCGCTGTTTTTGACCAAGAGTGGAGGTCAGTCTCAGGACTAGAGGAGAGCTTGTTTGCTTCAGTTCGGAAAGGGGGAAAGGAAGATCTGGTAACTCCAGGCCAGTCAATTTGAAATCAGTACCTGAGAAAATTCTAGGAAAAATAATGAAGAGATTGATCTGTAAATACCTTGAAACAAGATAGCATAGTTTTTGCCAAAAACAGAATGTGCCAGACTCACTTTATCTTAGTTTTTATTTTTATTAAATTGGGGAAGTCTTGGTATAGTAGTTGATTGCAACCTGAATATGTCTCCAGTGCCATCCAGCTGCCAAACAGAAGGAAATAGGCAATAGCAGTAATGCTATTTCAGCAGAAATGTAATTTCCAAATCATGGGACATCACTGTTCCATTCTATTCTGCTTTGGTCAGACCCCATTCAGATATTATATACAGTCCTGAGCAGTGTTTTGCAGGCTTCTTTGCAAACTTTGACACATTTTGGAAAACAATTCCTTAATTCCTTCCAAAGAAACTTACCATCTTTTTCCTATCCCAAACAGCTAGTGAAGAGACTTTGGGCACATCCAGACATCTGATTTAAGGTGTTGTCCTCATTGTCAATACAGGAGAGGCTTATATGCTGCTGGAGTTGGAGTGACAGTACGGCATCATTTACACACATTTGTCCAGTGTCCTACAGTTGTTCCATTTTGGGAGGACGTTATTACATTTGTTAGCTCAATTCTGAACTCTGTTCTTCTGACATGGAAACCAACATCTGGACAAAAATGTGGTTTCTCTGTGTCCTACGTGCAGCTAAAAGACTTCTGCATTCAACAGATAAACATACAGTCCCAGCTATTTGGTGGTCAGCAGATTTCATCTTATTAGCAACCTACAAATAAACCAATTAGCTGTGGCTGATTAGAATGAAATATGGCTACCATTCATTGGTGTTTCTTATGTAGAACTCATACGTATTAGAGAGCATATGTCCCGCACATTTTTGTTTCTTTTAGTTGTTCTCCCCTTCTTTAAACTTGCTGCATTTTTAATTTCAATTAGTAACGGCAAAATGAAATTAAACGTAAATGGTGCTGTCCTCCAGTCCCTGAGACTGTGAGACAAAGTTGTCAGCATAAATTTGCTGTAGCCCCATCACAAAGCTATCATTTCCCACCTCTGGGTTAACTCTTTACCCTTCACACACACTCACATCCCTCCCCCCAAAATCAAGGTGAAGCGTGCACAGTTTAAATGCTTGGTGCCCAAGGACTCTCCTCTGGCAGCAGCAGCAGCAGCAGCAGCAGCAGCAGCAGCAGCAGCAGCAGGCGGCACCTGGAGTCCTCCCCGTTTGGGAATGGTGCTGCCTGCAGCTGGTCCCGAAAGCTGAAGCAAGCATTTCAGCCAGCTTTCATGTAGGGTAGGAAAAGAGAAGCTCAGCAAAGTATTTTGATGGAATAATATTTATTCACACAATCACAGAACTGGATAATCAGCTTTTTCCAAACAATGCCAATCATTCCTAGGAAAGTGCTGCGTAAATTCAGTGCACTGTCAGGTCCCCTCCTAACTGCCTAAAACTATCAGAAACCACTGGGGTAAAGCTTAGATTGAGACAGAGATGCACATCCAATCAGGAATGGTTCCCGCTGCTGGAAGACAAGCCTCGGGGCGGGGGGGGGGGGGGGGGGGGGGAAGCAGACAGAATCGAGATGCACC